GACAGGGTCTATGTAGTTGAGACTGACCTGGAACTCACTATGTAGCCCAGGCTGGTCTTGAATTTACAGCGATCCTCCTGCCTCAGACTCCTGAGTGCTGGGATTATAGGCGTGGCCACCACGCCTGGCAACTCTTTACTTCTTGTAGCCTTCTTGTAGGCTAGGTATTGCACAAAAATTAGTTTTCAGAAGAAATGCTTGTGTTATCAAATAATGAAATGTACCCAGCACCTTAGAACATGGCTATATCAAAGGCTGGCTCCACTTTCAAACAGGACGCTATGGGGGAGTCTGATCAAGGAGCAGGAAACTCAGGGCTGGGGCTCAGGGATGCAGGTAAGTCTGGTCTCTGGATGCTGGGGAATGGGAGACCCCAGAGCAGGCGGGAGGATGGCCAGGCTCAACTGTTCTGAGTTTCGTGGGAGGGGAGTTTGCACAGGGCCTGCCGGAGTCCTCACCACCAGCTCAGGTGGGCTGGCCAGGGCCCTGGTGCACTGCAAGCCCTCGGGCAGACTGTCTCTCAGGTTGGGACAGGCACATTGCAGCAGAAAGGCATCTTTGCAGGCATTGGTGTGCAGTGATCTCAGCAGGGTACAGTGCAGCTCTTGAGGTGAGGGATAGGGATCTGTGCAAGGTGAGGACAGACCTTCAGGCTGGGCTGATATTTCTTGGGTTTGCACCAGCCTAGCCTGCGGGCTTATTAACAGTGCCACGCTTCCCTACCTGCTTGCCAAGGCCCCCTATCCCCAGCTGCCACCCTGGGCTTCTTCCTGCCCTCCATGACACTCTTCATCCCCACTTCACTCTTAGTCCAACCCCGTCTTCGCTCTGGAAGGCTTTACACCACTGGGATCCAAGACACACGGAGCAGGCAGGACAGTGGTGGTAAGGCAGTGCCAGCGCCATCATCAGCATGGGGCGGGGCTGGAGGCTGAGCAGGCACCCCACACCTGTCCCCTCTGCCTGCCACAGCCAGCCTGTGAGGGTGTGGGCAGAGACTCTGGGGATTCTTCGCCAAGGTTCCTCCCCAGATCCTCCCCAGCTGCCTGCCTCCCCTAGCCCAGCAAACGCTGTCAACCATCCCCGTCCCCTGCCAATAGCAGGTTCAAACCCTTGGCTCCAGCTGGGCTGCCAGGGAGGAAAGACCTGAGTGGCCAGTGGGGTGCGCTGCACAGCTCCGCTGAGAGCTGGAGGCTTTGCCAGGTGGGACAGGGCTGGGCCACTTAATCTAGAGCCCTCAGGCCCTCCTGAAGATGGGAGCAGCTCCCTCATGCTGGACTCGGTGTCACAAGTTGACCTGGGTCCAGGGCCACGTTGAAGTGGGAATGAGGCCAGCTGTGGAGATAGGCAGAGGGGAGGTAGAAAAATGGGGGACTCCCTCTTGGACCCCCTGCTCCATCCTCCTGCCCAGACCCTGTGCCCACCTGCCAAAGCAGTTGGCACCCTGAGCACCCACTCTGGGGAGCCGCGGGCACCTCGCACAGCGGTTAGCAGGTGTTGAAGAAGATGTTCACCTGCCAGGACCACATGGCCAGCCTGGGCCCTGCACCTTGGGAAAACAAGGCCTGGGAAAGTCACCTCACCTCTCAGAGTGTCAAGTTTCTTCCTCATACCCAGAGAGCTGTTGTGAGGATTAAATGTGATGATGTATGTCTTGTACTGTATTTAGAATATTTTGCATTCAATTCGTTTTTTAGCTCTTATTTCTAAATGTAGTTCTCAGGATGCTTATGCTTTTTTCATGTTTCCAGGTTTGCACATTCCATTCCTTCTAGCTGTCATTTCATCCTCTGCCGAATCTACCTAAAGAGCTCCTACTCAGCCTTCAGAAATAAGCCTTCCTTGAACTCCTCCCATGTATCCACAATTTGCTCCCTACTTCCAGCTTTGCTCGCTCTTCTGTCAAGACCCGGAACTCACTGTGCTCAGGCACCTGGGCCTTCCTTAGGGGAGGCCTCCATCTGTCCTATCCTGTTAATTGGGGCCCACCTTTGGAATCTTCAAAAGTCATGCCCACTGTGCATGGAGCTCTTCCCTGCAGGCTGGATGCCTTGTCCCCTGCCTGGCAGGCTGGGCCCTTGGCCCTCATCCTCAGCCTGTCTCCGTGTGCAGTGTGGGCCTGGGCTGCTCATTGCCTGGCTCTGGCCTCAGGATCATCGTTAGTAGGAGGAGAGCGTGGCTGCAGCTATCAAACCATCCTGTGAAGGACATTTAATTGAAAGGCTGTGAGGGTTTCTGGTTTTTCCTCATTCAGGGGTTGGGCAAGCCCCCTAATTCTTCAAGTTCAAAGGAAAGAATATTTACACCATGGAAAATGGCCAATGCTAAAATCAGAGATTTATTTTGTAACCATTTTATTGTAGTTTTATTTGAGCACACTGCTGGGGGTAGATGAGATCAGAGAGCTTTAGCCTATAATGTCCAAGGCCTCAAGGTGTGTGAAGGGTTTGAACAGAGGAGGGATGTGAAGTGACTTGGGTTTTCATAGTAACTCTCTGGCTACCTTGTTGGGGAACAGCGTGTGAGGCCAGGGGGAAAGCTGGGTGGGTATGGTCATCCAGGTGGTATCACCAGTATAGAAAGTAAGAACTCAGGACAAGAGGCCTGTGTTCCATTCCTAGCCATGAGTGCACACACGCACACCCCCCACATAAATACAAGGTGTTTGGAAATGCTACATATATATTCTCAAGAATTATTTACTATCTGAAATCAAAATTTAACTGGGCATCCTGAATTTTATCTGGTAGCCTCATATTCAGGTCCCTGGTGAAGAAGGTGGAGATTCACAGCTGCTTTGGCAGGCTCACCACTTGACTTTGACCGCCAGTCCTTGGAAGGGTGTCTCCCCATGGCCAGCCCTCTTCCTAGGATGCTCGGGGTAGAGCCTTAACTACCCTCACTCTGGTCCACACCTAACTGACCTTGGACCTGCTGTGGCCTTCAGCCATTTCCTGCAGATCCGAGAGAGGAAACTGGATAGGAGGCAGATCGCAGATGGGTGAAGAGGATGATCTCACAGGAAACCAGACAAGCCGGAGTTGCCACCACACCTTGGACTTGGGAAACTGGTCCCTACACTGACTGCTACCTCCTCCACCCTCCTTGCAGGTCTTAGTGATGGGCCTTACCCTGTGGGATGGGGAATTCTGCATCACCACATGCAGGGAAAATCTGGCAGTCCTCAGGGAATGTTCTGGGCAGGGCAATGTCAGCTCTGGAGCCAACCAGAGGGGCCCTAGTTTGGATGATGCTTGTCCCTCAGAGGACTGATCCTTAGTGTGGTCCTGGAACATTCAGACACAGCACCTTAGCTACCCTCACTCTGGCACGCTCTACCCTGGACCTTCAGGAAGGAGGCTCTGAAAGCCTATTGTCCTACCCAAATCTCTGAAGACTTCCAGTAGCCTAAACCAGGAATCAAGCTCAGACAACCGGTGTCTCTGTTTTGGAAACATGTGTCTTCTAAGCTGTTTTATTTCTCAGCTTTTAATATGACCTAAGGCACAAGTGCTACAAGTACCATGATAAATGGCATCAGACCTTCAGCCTCTGCTGGAAAGCAGTGAAGATGCAGGAGGGAACTGTGGGGGAACTGGAGAGGCCATGCCTTTTCAGTGGTGGGGTTCCAGCAGAGTATTGCATGTGGAAATACAGGTCTAATGTTGACATATCTTTTGATTTTCCAAAAGAAACCGGAAATCAGGATTTTTATGAGATGGTATACTTCATTTTTAAAATAGGCAAATAATTCTTATCTTTGAAAAAGCACCCCGAGAATCATCCTCTCACACTGATGGTGGACGTCTACACTGGCACCATCCTAAAGATAGAATTTGGCCATTAGCTGTTAAACCTCTAAATTGGCACTCCTACTCTGGGCATGTTCCTTACAGAAACACCTGCAGCAAGCCATGTAATGTGTTCAAAAATTTTATTGCAGCACTATGTGCAATAGCAAAAAAATCTGAACTAATCTAAATGTATACCTATAGGTCTTGGTTCAACAGATTCCACTTGTGAAAGAATACTATATAGCTTTAAAAAAGAATTGAGGGGGTTTCTTAATGGGATATCTGTAGCACAAGGGACAAAAACAAATAGAGAAATTGGACTTCATTGAAATCCCCGACTAACCTGGCATGGCTCTGATTCTGTAAGATTCCACTTTCTCTCCCCTGAGCCCTCCCCACCTGGAAGCATGATTTAAAAGGAGAAATTAAAGCACTTCCCATTGCCAAGGAAACTTCTGGGCAGTGGCCACCTTCAGCCACCGGCTATAATAAGCGGGCTTGAATCTGGCAGAGTGTGGTGCATCGCTATTGTTCGAACTCGCTTGTCCATAACACAAGGAAGAAAAATAAATATTTGTAAATCATGTATATGATAAGGGACTTATATAACCAGAAAAAAACTATAATAGTACATAAGATCCTAATGAGATAATTGACCATGTGAAATAGAAAGAAAAGGGCTAAAGGTGTAGGGAAAATGGGAAGGGTAGGGGAAAGGTAATAAGGGAAAAGAAAAAAATATGAGAAAATGAAAAAATGGAAATAAAGCATTTCTAAATGGGGAGGGGAGAGGGGGGTGAAGGGAGGGCAGGGACAAGGGGGAAAATGAGAACCAAGACCTGTCATGTAGAGGTACAAGATCCCAACAATGAATGTAACTGTACTGTATCCCTAAAATGTACCAATAAACTCAATGAGAGAGAGAGAGAAAAAAAAAGAATTCTTGTAACTCCACAACAAAGTCGGGCAAATAACCCAATTAAAAATGCACAAAGAAGCCGGACATGGGGCATATGCCTGTGATTTCAGCTGTTGGAGGCTGAGGTGAGAGGATAGAAAGTTCGAGGCCAGCCTGAGCAATGAAGCAAGAAGCCTGTCTCAAAAGAAAGAACGGACAACTCATTTGACTAGACATCCCCTCCCAATAAAAAAAGCCATGTAGCCATCGTGTCCACGAAAAGATGCTCAGCATTCTTAGTCATTGGGAAAATGAAACTCAAAACCATAGCAACTGCCGCAGGCATATTGGCACAGGCCTGTAACACCAGCTACTTGGGAGGCTGGGGCAGCAAATTTGAGGCCAGCCCAGGCAACTCAGCAAGTCCTGTCTTAAAATGAAATTTTAAAAAGGGCCGTGGATTTGGCTCAATCCTAGAGTAAATGTGTAGTATATATAAGGCCCTGGCTTCAATCCCTAGCTCTGAAAAACAAAGCAACAAAAACCCCTTCAATGATATATTTCACACCTACTAGACTATAATTACTGAAAAGAGGATGTTAAGAACCTGAGAGTGATTAATAATAAATACTATTCTGTGAGAGTATAAAATGGTACAGCTGCTGGGGAAAACAGCTTGAAACTTTCTAAAAAATTAACCATATAGTTACCGTGAGCCGGCAAATCCATCCCTCAGTGTATGACCAGGAAAACTGAAAACATATGTCCATGGAAAACAAAGAAACAACCAGGGCTGGGGATTTAGCTCCGTGGTTCCACCACCTGCCTTGCAAGTGCAAGGACCTGAGTTCTATCCCTGGTACAAAAGAAAAGAAAAGAAACAGTCTAAATGTCCATAATTGATGAACAATATGGAAAATTATTCATCAGAAAAAGGAATGGAATACTGTTACATAATGCAACATGGATGAAACTTTAAAACTCAATGCTAAGTGAAAGATGCCAGATACAAAATGTCATATATTATTTAATTCCATTTACAGTACATGCAATGTCCAGAATAGGTAAATACATATTGATTTCTAATGGGTTTCTTTTTGGGGTGATAACAATGTTCTAAAATTAGGCAGTGGCAATGGTTGACCAGCCCTGTGAATGTAGTAAAAAACCACAGAAATGTACATTATAAAATAGTGAGTTTTAGGGTATGAGTTTATCTCAAAAAACTTTTTTTTTTTTTAAACAGGGTCTCACTATGTATTTGAGACTGACCAGGAACTCACTATGTAGCCCAGGCTGGTCTCGAACTCATAGCGATCCTCCTGCCTTAGCCTCCCAAGTGCTGGAATTACAGGCGTGCACCACCATGCCCGGCTGAAAAACTTATTTTTAAAGGGTTGGGAAAGGCAAGGAATCTGTCCATTTATTGACATGGAATAATCTTCAGGGAAAGTATGTATGTGATCTTCTGTACACAAAAAGGAGATAGGTAGAAATAGGTACTGTTCTCGAATTGCTTTTTTCTAGTGGTCACCTGCGGGTGGAATCACAATTTTTTACTTTTTAGAATTTTGAACCTTAGGAATGCATTATTCAACAATTTTTTTCTTAAAGAAGTGGTAACATGTCATATGCAACCGAGAGCTCAGTAAAGCAAGGATGAAGGATTTCTACTGGTTTTGACTCTAATCAGGTAACTGATGACTTTTCCAGGACAGAAGAAACTGGGTCTAGTAGGGGTAGAATCAAAGTAGTTCATGGTAGGTTGAAAAGTAAACAGTAATCAAAGAGTTTTCTTGGTGGGAATGTTGACTTATATGCAATGTATACACCAAGCCTAGATTAAGTATTTATAAAATATTCAAAAGGTATAGAGTTTGTTGATCACTTCTGGTATTTCACATTTTATTCTTGGGTCAGACAGGACCACCAAACAGATGTCTACTTGGGCCCCTAAATTTTTTAAAAAATGTTGTGGCTTGGTATGCCTTCTGCTTACAGACAGTGGAGACTTGTGTGGCACATATTTCAGAGTCAGGGAAGATTACCTGTAGGAAAGCCATCAAAGAAACACAGTTGGACCTCAGTGACAGAAAATGCTCATTTCCCATAAGTGTAATGTATTAATGTTCAGTGCAAATTATGCAAGACAATTTCACTTTTGTTATACTGTCAGGTAAATCAGCAACACACTTATAGTTCAACCTTAATTCAGTAGGTCAATATAATCATTACATGTCTAAATACTAAGTATATATTTATTCTGCACTTGATCTTAGCCAAAAGACCGAGAAGCGATTAAACATATATTTATTCTGGAACTTACCTAATACTCATAACTCTATTTCTACTCATGTTGATATTTTTAAAAATGCAAGACTACTCTTCTGTTTTAATGTACAGATCTGGATAAGCCTTTTAAGATTTAGTCAAAAACAACAAAAACCTCAGAAACAAACACAAAAGACAATCACACAATCACCACTAATAAGCCTTGTCAGTAATGGAAAAAATAAAGGACTTCTGAAAGGATTGGTAATGTTTTGGGTTCTCCTATGTACTTTGGTACTGGGAATTGAACCAGGGATGTCCCACCATTGAGTTACATCCCTAGTACTTTTTAATTTTAATATTGATTTATTTAGAGAATACTTATGCCAATGTCTTCAAGATTGCTACCTAACCCCTCTTTCAGCCGGTTTCATATTTCTGCTTTAATATTTAGCTCTTTAATCCATTTTGATTTTAGTTTAGTGCATGGTGAGAGATATGTCTAGTTTTAATCTTTAGCAAGTAAAATCCCAATTTTTCCAGCAGCAGCATTTATTTATTCTTTGTTTGGTACTCTGATTTGAACTTGGGACCTTGCCCTTGCTTGGCACCTGGAGGCACCACTGATCTAGATCACCAGCTCTGTGTCTGAATTTGCTTCTGCATCTTCTCCTTGGTTCCACTGGTCCTTGGGTCTGTTTCTTTGCTAGTACTATGCTGTTTTATCACAGTAGCTTGGTAGTATAGTTTATTTATTTTTTTTTTTTTTTTTTTTTTTGGTGGTATAGTTCAAAGTTGGGGATTGTTGGTGCAACCACTATGGAAATCAATATGGAGATATCTCAAAGAGCTGGGATTAGAGGTTCCATTTGACCCATCCATCCCTCTGCTGGGTATCTTTCCAAAGGAATTAAAACAATCATACCACAGTGATATATGCCCACCTATGTTTATAGTGGCACGGTTTTTAGTAGCTAAAACTTGGAAACAGCCCATTTGCCCATCAGTTGGAAATTGGATAAAGATGGTGTGGTTTTCCTACTCAGCCATCAGGAATGAGAAATTAGATTCATTCATAGGAAAATGGATACATATTGAGGATATACTCCTAAGTGAAATAAATGAGTCACATATGTGTAAATACCAAATAGTTTCTGTGGTGTGAAAAACTATAATGGTACATAAGAGCCTAATGGTAGAATTGATAATGTGAAATAGGAATAAAAGGACTAAAGGTGTAGGGGAAGTAGGAAGGGTAGGGGAAAGGAAATAAGGGAAAAGAAAAAAAACATGAGAAAATGAAAAAATGGAAATAAAGTATTTGTAAATAGGGAAGGGAGGGGGGATGAAGGGAGGGAAGGGATAAGGGGAAAAAATGAGATCAAAGACCTGTCATGTAAAAGTACAAGATCCCAATGATGAATGCAACTGTACTGTATACCTAAAATGTACAAATAAATTCAATGAGAAAAAAAAATGGGGGATTGTGATACCCCAATCTTGTCTTTATTGCTATTGTCTTCTTTTGCTAGTCTAGGTCTCTCGTTGTTCCAAATGAGCATTTGAAGTGTTTTTCTCAAGATCTGTGAAGGATGTGGCTGAAATTTCCATTGGGATTGCATGGAATCTGTATAACAGTTTTGGAAGCACAGCCATTTGCACTATATTGGTTCTTCCTACCCAGGATCAAGGGGTGTCTTTCCATTTTCTGATATCCACTTTCATCTCTTTTCAGAGTGCTACAGTTTTCAGAGTAGAGGTCTTTAACTTCTATTTTTAATCTGATCCCTAGGTCTCTGATTATTTGCATGCTATTGTGAAAGGAGTTGTTTCCCCAGCTCCTATCTCAGTGAGTCTCTTTATTGATGTACAGGAAGGTTATTTTGTGTGTGTGTGTGTGTGTGTGTGTTGATCTTGTATTCAGCTACTCTACTAAATTTTGTTATTAAGTTTGGAAGACTATTGACAGCATTCTTGGAGTTTCCTATAGAGAGTATCATGTCATCTGCAAATAATGATAATTTAACTTGTTTGTTTCCTATCTTTATTGCTTTTATTTCTTTCTCTTGTCGAATTGCTGTGGCTAATGTTTCCAAAGCAATATCGAACAGGAGTGGTGATAGTGGAATCCTGATCTTGTTCTTGATTTTAGGGTGAAGGATTTCAGTTTTTGACCATTTAGTATGGTGTTGGCTGTTGGTTTTTCATAGATGGCTTCTCTCAGGTTGAGATGGAGACCATCTATTCCCATTTTCTGTAGGGCTTTTTTTTTTTTTAATCATGAATGGTGCTGAATTTTGTCAGATGCTTTTTCTGCATCTATTGAGAAGATCATATGGCTTTTGTCCTGGCCTCTCTTAAAATAGTGTATTGTATTTGCTGGTTTTCATATATTGAACCATCCCTGCATCTCTGGGATGAATGCCACTTGGTCAGGGTCTATGATATTCTTAATGATCTTCTGCATTCTGTTTGCCAGTATCTTATTCATGATTTTTGCATCAATGTTCATTAGTGAGACTAGCGTATAGCTGTCTTTTTTGGTTGGGACCTTCTCTGCTTTGGGGATCAAGGTGATGCTTGCTTCCAGGAATGAATTTGGGAGTATTGCTTTCCTTCCAGTTTTATTGAAGAGTTTAAACATTAGTGGCAATAGTTCTTCTCTACATGTCTTGTAGAATTCAGCAGGGAAGACATCAGGAACCCAGCCTTTTCTTCACTGATAATTTTTTTATTATGTTTTCAATTTCACTGATGTTAGGTTGTTTAGGATTTTTAGGTCATCTTCATGGAACTTTGGTAATTCAGGTGAATCTAGATATCTGTCAATTTCTTCTATGTTTTCTATTTATTGGCATAGAGTTTCTCAAAGTAGGTATTGATGATCCTCTGGATTTCTCCTAGGTCCATTGTAATTTTACCCTATTCATTCGTAATTGCATGGATTTGGGTCTTTTCATTCCTGTTTTGATGAGGTTGGATAAGGGTTTGTCAATTTTGTTTATTCTTTCAAGGATCCAGCTCTTTGCTTTATTGATTTTCTGTATCTCTGTCTTAGTCTCCATTGCATTGAGTTCTGCTCTGAATTTTATAGTTTCTTCCCTTGTATGAGCTTTGGATTTATCCTGCTCTTCTTTTTCTAGAAGCTTGAGTTTTAGTATTAGGTTGTTTACTTGACCTTGTGCAGTTTTCCTAACATGAGTATTCAGTTCTATAAATTTCCCTCCTAAGACTGCTTTCATTGTGTTCCACAAATTCAGATATATTGTATTGGAATTGTTATTTAATTGCAGGTGCTGTCTGATTTCTTCTTTAATTTCCTCTGTAACCCATTGATTATTCAGAAGTGTGTTCAATTTCCAAGTGTTTATCAAATTCTTGTGTTTTATTGTGCTATTGATCTCCAATTTCATCACAGTATGGTCTAATAATATACAGGGGATAACTTCCATTCCTTTGCACCTATTTAAAAGAGTTCTATGAGCAAACATTTGGTTTATTTTGGAGAACAACCTGTGTGCAGCTGAAAGGAATGTGTATTCGTTCTAATTTTGTGGGTGGAACACTCTGTAAACATCTGTTAAGTCACTTTGTTCATGAGTTTGATTGAGTTCTAGTAATTCATCATGTAGTTTTTGTTTAGTTGATCTCTTTGTGACTTGGGTGACTCTTTGTGACTTCAGATCTCTCACGACTACTGTAGTAGGCTTACTTGTGCAGAGCAGAGATGGGTCCTTCAGCTCCAATTGGACATCTACATGTGTGTCCCTGTACCTCATGGGGCTAAGGCTAGAGATTTATCCTGAGTAGAGAGCTGCACAACTATTCAGCGTTTCATTTCTAGACTGTTATTCACAAGACTAACAATGTAGGAAGGAAATGGCACCCTCCCTGATGTCCGTGTAGAGCACTGAGGCCTCACCGTTCAGAGCTTTCAGTGATACAAAAACCTGCTGCAGCACGCATGCCACAGGTTCACCAGCACTGACGTCGAGGTGTGGTGGACCTGTGTGAGCAGTGTGAAGCGTGGACCACTGAAAGGTGCTGCACTGGGTCTCTGGGCCCACAGGGAGAGAGCAGGGAATCTGATCATGAAAAATATACACGGACGTGTGAAGGATGTCTCTTTAGTGAGTTCAGTTGTTTAAGTTAAATAGATACAACATCAGTTTGCATCCGCACAGATGGGCAAGGTCCATGTGCTGGAAGGTGACACAGAATGAATGAAGGAGAGAAGCACAGAGCCTGGGAGACCTTCCGAACAGTTAACGAAGAGAGGTCCCGAGGGCCGGTTGTGGAAAAAAGTTTACATGTCCATTCAGTGATGTTCGGGGACTTGTATGAAGTGATTATTTTTCATTATACAGGAATCTTTATGAAATTTGCTCTATTTTCACTCATCTATTCAGGAAATTAGTCAAGTTTTATTCTCAAGTGAATTGATAGGAAGAGAAGAAATCCTGACTACAACAACATAAAAAGGCAATATGAGTGAAGAATGGAAAAAAAGATAAAGCAGTCAGACCCAGGAACAGTGGTCTCCCCCTGAGGTTCTCCTCTTGCCTGTCCTCACCTTCGGGCACAACCCTGTGTCTCTTCTCCACTTCTTGAGCATTTTCAGTGCCTGTAATTTTATAATTAACTCAGAAATGGTTTCTAATCCACACCTATAACAGCAGGCTTGCATCTGCCTGAGGGACGCCTTGCCTCCCAGGTAGAGCGTCTCATGTCTGGGCAGGGTTTTGCTTATCTTTGCACATTGTTTTTCCATGTGTCAGAACTTGATTTCCTTTTTTAAAATTGTGTTTATTTGCCAAATTATTTTTATTAGTACATGTTTATGGTGCTCTATGATTATATGCATAGTGGGGAGTTGATGCATTTAATATCTAGAATGGAAGTTAGGCCCTCCCTGGTGCATTATGCAGTGGCAAACATAGGTTGTTCTGAAGGTTGCTGGTATTGAGCACCAGGCCCTGTCCCCAGGCATTACCAGCAGGAGGCCAGCTCCATCTGAATGTTGGAGCTACCAAAGTCAGAGGACAGTTGGTCTGGTCGTTGCTCTCACCCAGCAGGTGGGGTGAATGTCATAAACAGGTAGCAGCCATTGCCTAATTCAGTACCTTTTCCTGGTCCTTTTTCTGTGCTCCTCTTCTCCTCCCTTATTCCTTCCCTGGACCATTCCACTTTCAATGCTTCTGGGATACCCTCAGGAGTCTGTCATCCTTGACTTTGCAGAAGTTCACCTAGCTGGAATAGCACAAGTGCAGTGAGTTGTGGACCACTCAAGGAGACAACCCCTGCCCTGCAGTCCACGTCTCATGACAGAGATACCAAATTTAACCAAGGTCTAAGGGTTGTCGGTCATGGCCCCCGAGTAGATTTTGGAATTTGCTTCTCAAAAATGCTTAGTGAAGCTGGTTGAGATGTGGAGAGGCTGTAATCCCATGACTCTGGGAGTCTGAGGCAAGAGGATCACAATTTCAGCCTGAGTAATATCACTACACAATGAAATTAGTGTTAAATTTTTTTAAAAAATTGAAATGTCTTGTAATGCAGCTCAGTGACATGGCCCATTCTGAGACCCCCCACAGCAAGAAAAAACTTACTAAGTTGTAAAATGCCTAAATCAAGGGGAGTTTTCAGGCCAAACTACAGGGCAAGACTGGAGCAAATTCCACTAGGAACCTTCAGTCCCTGGTGTCCAGAATGTTCTGAAATTTCTGATTTTAAAAACGAAAAGTAATCAATCTCTAGGGACTGACCACCCATCTCCACATAGGAGCTTGTTGTCCTGTTCCTCTGCCCTAAGGAGATGTGACAGACGTCAGCCGGGTTGGTTGGCTCTCATGTATCCTCCAGAGAGGCTGCAGAGCTGCATTTCCCAAACTCACCATGCAGTTCTGTGTACTGTGTACTGTGTGTTCTGAGCCATGGGCCCTGCAGACCCCAGGACGTGACCATGCCTCTAGCACTGCTTCTGAAGTGACTCTGATCCGGAATCTTCACTGCTAGGATTCTGTCTTTCAAACGGACCTTGACAGATGCAGGCGTTTCCTTCAGCTCTGGTATAGGTGTATAAATTTGTAAAGAGCACGCACGAGGGAAGACTCTGTTCCTGAATAGGATGACTACCTCTGTGTCTTTTCTTTTATGATTCCCTTATGGTACGTTCTGTATTTCACTGTAAAGCTTATCACTTGTCTGAAGAAAAAAATGCATAATTTATTATGTGAAGAGAAATCATTGGAATCTATCTAGGATTTTCCCTTCTTCCAATAAGTAAGACTGAACAGTCGCTTCCAAGATTGTGTGGCCAAAGACCACTATGATTGCAGTTTTGTGAAAAATGTAGAAAACCTCGAAAAATGTCTGCACCCAATGACTCTTCCTTCATGTATATTCATGGACTGCTGATACCCACCTGCTCTTCCTCTCTGGAAAGTCCTGCTCCAGGGGCTCCATCACGGTGTGGGGCGGCCCTGCCTGCACCGTGCTCACTGTGCAGAGCTCTGCCAGGCTCTCTGTGGACTGGGTTCCCATCTGTGGTGAGACAGTAGAGAGTCTTGGAGTTAATGCTCCCCTGACTAATTATCAGGAAGATTTGAGGGTAAACAAAGACTGTGCATCAATTGGTCCACACAGGCTCATGCCAGAGGGACCACAAGAGGTGCCCAGCAGAAAAATGGTTCTCTTGTTAAGTCATGTATGTCCAGACACATTTGTCATTAAGACTGCCTATTTTCCCTGAATTGCCTTGGCATTTTTCTTGAAAATCAAACCCATGTGTGTGGCTATTTACGATCTCTATTTTGCTACTTTGACTATTTCTGACAGTGCTTTAGTCACCCATGTAAATTGGTGAACTTCACCGTTCTACCACACAAGCCAGATGGATGTGCAATGCATTTTATAAATCTGAAAAACATGTTTCTGAAAAACATGATACATAAAAATATAAAGCCTGTCTTTTATGTAGGCTACTAAGCTGAAATTCATGGTACTCTATCCCAAAGCACTTCGACACAAATGACACAGAGAGAGTGTTGCACACCTATGCAAAATTATACTAAAATATCTTTAAATAATAATGAGGAAAAGGAAGACAAAAGGAGAGGTGTCCAACATGGCAGGACCTCTCCATAAAGGAATCAAGATGGCAAACCTACTTTGCCCTCCTCTTTAGAGCTAGAGTGACAAAAGGATAAGTCTCCCACATACTGGACACAAAAAATAACTCATAGATTAGGGCAGAATATACTACCATGTCCTACTGAGATGGTAAAATATGAAGGAACCTCTGTGGCAGCTGTCAGGGGCTGTGCGCGTGAAGAGGGCCAGACAGTCCATTCTGGGGCACAGGAACCTGAAACCCCACCCATCTAGATGGCTCTGTGATTGGCTCAAACAAGCAACAAGTGAGTCCTAAGGCAGAGGAGATGAGCTGTGAGGCAGAAACAGAAGGGAGCCATTGTCCCTGCCCTGAGGCCTCATAGGGATCTCAGTACAGCACAGAGACACAGCTGCCTCAGGAAGCACAGGCTGAGTAGGAACACAGCCCTGCTGGTGGACCTGCGCCATAACACCATGGTCAGGAGCACCGAGGCCCATAGAGCAGGTAGTCACTGCAGGGCAGGCAAGGCGCATGTGTCTGATGATGCAGGTGACTCGCTAAAGCCACAGCCAGAGAACAGAAGGTCTTTCTCTCCTCTGTGCTTCCTAAGTCGCTGGCACCCTAGGTTTCCTGAGAGTGAAACAACATCCAAGTGTCCCCTGAGAGTGGATGCAGAAGCCGCCAGCCATAGCATGAGGGTGACTCACGCCTCCCATAGTGTTTAGAATAGCAGCAAGTGCTTGGGGGCCTGAGCGGGAAGCCAGGTTCAGTCCTACTGCATGTGATCACTGGAATTAGGGTGACGACATCCACAACAGTGCAAAGACTTCACCTCACCATCACCACCTGCTACCGCTCCTCACACCATGGCGCAGTACTGAGTGCTACAATTCGTGACTGAGGTAAACATCAAGGTATAAATAAGCAATCATATACACCTGAAAGTTAAAACCTGCTATGAGTTCTCTACTTCTACATATGTAGGGATTCATATTTGAAATTTTTATATATTTCTCGGAAGGTATTGTGTAAACTTATAGAACATCTCTGCACTGTCTATGGAAATAAATTAAAATCAACCCATGAAAGAAAATCATCCTCAACTATGATACATCTTGAAGTGACAACACTGAGCACTTCATCTTCAGAGAGAATGGGCCCTTTGGACAGAAAAATACATGTTCCACTGTGCCTGCCACATTTAAGAATCTATGTATTTGTTGTGTTAAAACTTCCAAGTTCACCAGAGTCAAAAATCATGGGCAGCTTTTCTCGGCTTTCACTTGGTTTTTCTAAGGATTCAACCACTATGAAAATACGGGGAGGATTTTTATCAGGAAGGAGCTGCTTATCAGAGGGTGGGCTCGGCCTTTGACCCCATCACGTGACCTCACTTCCTTGGCGATGGGTCCAAACAGAACTTGGAACCCTGCACTCAACTGCCTCCCCGGTCACTTGGCTGAGGACAGTTAGCAGCGAACATGCTGTGCTGCTTTCCCAGACCTCAAGGCCGCAGGCCCAGGACCCCACGAAAGGAAAGCACTTGGCAACTAGTGAGAGGATGGTTCACTTGCCCCAGATGCCTCAGGACACTATCCAGAAACCGCCCAAACACCATGGGCAGCACAGGGCAGGTCTCCCCAGACCCAGACCCCAAGGGCCCAGAGACAAGAGGGAGCCCAGGACGGGTGTTCCCAGGCTCAACCGTTAGCCGCTCGAAGTCACTGAGTCCAGGACAGGTCCATGGACTGGACACTACTGTGAGTCCTTTGTACAACTTCCCTCCATCCTCATTGTGTTGTGTGGGACCAGAAGGGATGGGGTCCCAAGCACAGTCCTCCCGGATGGGGGCAGGCATGGGGGCTGTGAGCCCAGGGTCCTGTCACATTCCCACCCTGGGCATGGCTGGGAGGAGGAGAAAGGCAGGGCCTGAGTGTTGGTCCCCAGCCACTTGGCCATCTCCTGTCCTGCTGAGGCAGAGCCTGTGACAGCCTGTGAAATGGCTGTCTGCTGTTTGGAGAGTACAGGATGTTTGGGGCAAAAAGAATACAAACCATAGTCTAACACAGCCTCCTGCTTCCCAGCCTGGGAACTGCTGAGCACTTTCCCCAAAAACACTGTACAGGGGACACTGGCCTGGACCCGGTCACTAGGAGCCTGTATGTCGTGTTCTTGCACCAGGCACTGGGGCCCCACAATAACAACGGGGTCCAACGTGGGTGCAGGGTGTGTGTGTGAGCAGAGGGGACTCTGTACTGTGAGCAGAGAAGGACTGAGAGGACCTTCAGAGCCAGACAGCAACGTCAGCCCCTCCTTCCAGGACTTAGTAAACAGTCGAACCAGCATCCTGATCCCAAAAGACCGGGATCCAGGTCCTCATCCTCAACAACCTCTCTGCTCAGCCACCCTCTTGGCCAGGTGCAAGGTCCCCATCCACACACTGGTGAGAGCATCACAATAGGGACAGGGACACTAAGTCACTTCACTTCCTGGCATCATTTCATTGTGCCATTTGACCTCACTGTAAATCCTGGGCCCAGGAGTCCATGCGTCACTGCCCCAACTGTCCTTCCCCCGTCTCCAGCTCTTACACGTCATCCCATCAGCAGCTGAGCTTGCCCAACACATCAGGCCATGCTACTCTGTCCTCTCCCTGGCACTTGCTGTCTCACAGCACTGATGCAGGCCCTGCAGGTCCCAGGATGGAGTCCTCCTGGGCTCAGTGACATTGTTTCAGGGAAACAGTGAGTACAGTTACTCTGCCTTAAGGCTAAGGAAGACCTGATTCCTTCCTGGGGATTTTTCATCAGAAACCTCGGGAACATCCTGAGTGACCTCATAAATGAGGGGACCACCCAGGATGAACCTCTGTTTTCTCATCTCTGCAAGGGGAGTTTGGCTCAGGAAAACTGGGAGGTGGTTATTCATGCATGGAGTTATATACAACCTCTGCACAGCTAATGAGCTCGTCTAATGATGCCAGTATTTGTAGGTGTCCCTTTGCAAATCTAACTTTTAATAAGAGAACTCCTTGGTGCTGCCACTTGCCTTGTCATTTCAAGGTCGTGAGTTCAGTCCACGGTCCCCGCAAACAAACAGAATCCCTTTCCTTTTGATTCATTTGCACCCTTTCTGTGAACCATTTAGTGTGTGGTCTTTGTTTTACCCTCAAATCCTCCTGAGACTTAAAAGGGGGAACATTAATTCCAAGACTCTCTACTGTCTCATCACAGATGGGAACCCAGTCCGCAGAGAGCCTGGCAGACCTCGGCACAGTGAGCACGGTGCAGGCAGGGCCGCCCCGCACCGTGATGGAGTCCGTGGAGCAGGACTTCCCGGAGAGGAAGAGCAGGTGGGTATCAGCAGTCCATGAATACACATGAAGAGACACTGTGTGCAGACATTTTTCGAGTTGTTCGCCATGATCCTATAGGCATAGCAGATGCCATTACTGCCCTTTTGGTTTGAAGGTTGGGGGCCCACAAAGTCCCCCTGGGCAACTGTATAGATATTCCTCACACGAAGCATGATTTGATCCTTTGCTGGCCTCCACAGATGTGGACACAAGCGGTGCAATTGTGACCCGAAAAGGCACAGAGAATGTGTCAACACATGGCTGCATGGGTTAGAGACTCAGCTCTCACTCCTACTTACAGCCTCCTACTGACTCCGCTCTTCTCACATATTTATGCAGGAGCCCTGTGCCCTTGAGTGCAAGGACACAGCAGATCCCAAACCCTGCCCTCAGGAGTTCAGTGCCAGTGGGGAGAGGCAGAGGTCAGGCTTCCCTAAAGAAACAGAGGTGTCACACCACAACACAAGGACTGCCTCCCATTGAGCCTTCTGACAGCCTCTGAGGGCTGCCTGGGACTGCACTGTCCCATTAGGGTCGGCATATTGTGGGCCTGGCACTGCACAGATGGGCAGAAGGCCCAGGTGTTCATCCCTGCAGGGGCGCTTGGCAGGCAGTGTGGATGTGAAAACCCCGCCTCTCACTGCCCCACCTGTGTGTCTTCCCCAGGTCTGCCTCTTCCATTCCTGAATCCTCACCGGAGCTGATATCCCAGGTGGATCCCCAGGATGACCTTCTCCTGAACCAGCTGGAGCCTCCTGAGCCCACTGAGGCAGAGCTCCACGGTGAGAGGACTGTAGAATGGGCCTGGGGGGAGGAGATGGGCCTTGAAACACTGCAAGGCTTTCAGCTGCTCAGGGACCCAGGAACACTGAGACACTGGGCAGTCAGTGTGGGGATGCAGGCTGGGAGGACTTCCTGGGACTGTGTTGGTGCACACAGATGTCTCTCACAGGCAGAGGGTTTTGCCTGGGAAGCAACAAGAACAGTCGGTGATCTTTTCTCCTCTTTCAACTGCCCTGCCAGCTCCGGCCCACACTGACGTCCCACCTGCTGAACTCGTGCCAGCTCCACCTGCAGCTCCCGTGGCAGCTCTGGCCCCACAGCAGGAGCCAGCACCTGGAAGCCCTGCTCCACCAGGAACACAGCTGCAACTTCTGGCTCCATGGCAGGTGTCCTCTCTTCAGATCTACCTGGACCCAGCTCTTCACCCCTATCTGCAATCTCTCTCTCCTACAGATTTACTTATCCTGTTATTCATTGCTGCCCTTATTTCCCAGAGACAGGGCAATGATGGAATTCCTTTAAATAAACTTTTAAGGTTTTAGTCTTGTTTGAAATGATCAACCTCCTGCATTTTCAGTGCATTCTCAGATATTGGCAAGGTTGTGCAACCTTCACCACAGTTCATTTCGAAGATTTTCCTCAATTCCAGAACCAAAGGTATTTCCTCCCCTCTCCCCTCCTCTTAGATCCACTCATCTCATCTCCTTGTAATTTACCTATTGAACATTTTTCACAAAACTGCAATCATATGGGTCTTCAGCCACAGAATCTTCAAAGCTAATATTCAATCTTCCTTATTGCAGGAAGGGAAAATCCTACATAGATTCCAATGATTCATTATCACATAGGAAATTATGCAGGTTTGTTTTTTTGTTTTTTTGGTTTTTTTTGGACAGGAGACAACTTTTACAGTAAAGTACAGAAAGCACCGTAAAAGAATAATGAAAGACACAGAGTCATCCTCCACAGGTAGAGTCAGCTCCACTGTATCTTCCTCCTTTGAGTATTTTTGTTCTTTGTTTCCATTTTTTTGGGGGGGGGTACCTGGGGATTAAACTCAGGATCTTGCACTTGCGATGTTGACTCTTTATCCTCGGGCTCAGGTCTACATCTCTCAGCTGCAGGCTGCAAAGTCTGGCAGGGCACAGCTCGGTCTCATCTCAGGAATGCGCTGGGACATGGCCCACTCCTCCTCCGTCCCTTACCATTTGCAGTGCCTACACTGGGACAGTTCTCTCAGCAACTTCTGCTCTAGACTCTTTCCCAATTTTCACACCAAGAGCAGAGCTGAAGGAAACAACCGCATCTGTCCGTGTCATTTTTAAAGATGGATTCCTAGCAGTGAAGATTCTGGGTCACAGCCACAGAAGCAGTGCTACTGACATCATCCCATCCATGAGGTCTTCATGATCCATGGGGCAGAACACAGTACCTGGGACACAGAATTCCATGGTGCCTTCTGGGAAAGGAAGCTCCGCAGCCTCTCCCGGGGGATACTTGGTGGCCAACATCCTCCTGAGGTTTGTCACAGCTCTCAGGACAGAGGAACAGAGTAACACAGCCCCATCTCTCCTACTGACAGTCAGTTCCTTGATGAAATTTCAGTTTTCAAATGTGAAATTTCAGAGCATTCTGAACACCAGGTGCCACAGTATCCTAATAGAATTTACTCCAGTCTTGCCTGTAGACACTGCAGACTCCTCTTGATTTAACCATTTTCAAAGTCAGTAAATTTGTCTCACTATGGGGGATCTCAGAATCGGCCATCTCCCTGAGCTGCATATAAGTCATTTCCATTTTTTTTTTTTTTAATTTTAACAGGAGGATGTAGCTCAGTGATTCAAGTCCTGAGTTCTATCC